ACACACACACACACACACACACACAAATAGAAATAAATAGATAAAAGCTAGCTGAGCATTGGCCAGCAAGAACATCTTCAATAGTTCCTGGCTCGACCTCCCACGATGATGGAGTAGCACCTGGAAGTGTAAGATGAAGACGCCCTTTCCCTTCCTAAACTACTTTTGGTTGTGGTGTTTATCAGAACAGAAAGCAGAGAAACTATGGCAGAGGCCTTCACCACGTGGCCTGCTCTGGACATGTCCTTACTTGAAGCAGTCATGAAAGGTTAATGACCCTCAAGCCTCAGGTGACCTGAGAAGCTCCCACAGGGAAGCTGGCCTGACTGATGGCACCTGTGGAAGCTTCTGGTCACGAGACCCCACACCAAACCCGCTGGTGTCTACCGCTTCCAGACTACAGGGGACTGATGCAGATGGACTCTTTCATCCCCAAGGTACCCCAAGCGGTCTCCACTTCTGTAGAGAGACGGCAGCCCGCACTGTTCTGGTTCTGCAGGTGCCTGGCTGCCGCCATCAGTCCCTATCTAACCGTCTGTGTCACAGTCCCCAGAGCAGCTCCTAGATTCCCTTCAAGGAGCCGCGCATACAAACTTCAGGTCATCTCAGCAGCTCTGATCCTCGACAGCAGCGGGCAGGCAACAGCCATCCCTGACCTGGTAGCTGTGTGTCAGTCTAACTGCCTTTCAGTCAGAAGCTACAGTGGAAACACTGCAAGACCCAATGAGCAATTAGGAGCCACTGTGAAGTAACTAGAAAGCAAATGCGAGCTGTCGGCCAGGTAAGTCAGGACCAGGTAAGTCGGGACCAGGTCAGGTAAGTCACGGGAAGGGCACTGGAGCCCGAGTGTGGCAGATACCGCCTCCACAACAGACACTGCTTTTGTTTTGTTTTTCTGGTTGTTGTTCTTTTGTTTTTGTTTTTTTTTTTCCTCCTTTTCTTCTCCTTAGCAAACCAGTATGTGGGGTTCCAGAAGTTTCTGATCTAAAATAAACACATACCATTATTTTAGGAGTCTGTGGATCGGGCCCATGTCCATATGGTGTAATTAGCGCACCGTGGAAGACGTAGACTAAGGGGGAGAGTGGAGCGCAGAGGCTCTTGATGTCCGACGGTATAAAGTGTGGAGCCACGGTTCCCTCCAGCTGGCCACACTCCCCCTCCTCTCGCTCTCAAGGCCTCACAATGGAGCTGTGACTGCCCTGGAACTTGCTATGTAGACCGGGCTGACCTAGAACTCACAGGGCTCTGCCTGCCTCTACCTTCCAAGGGCTGGGAGTAATGGCGTGTTTCACCACCTGCCCCACCTTTACCTGTGCCCAGGCTTCTCCACAGCATTCCTTTAACAGGCTCTCACCCCACCACTGAGAAGCAGGTGAGCTTGGGCTAGTCTATAATTTTACTTGGAAGACTCAGACAGGAAGATCAGCTGAACCCAAAAATGTGCAGCCAGCATGGGAAACACAGTGAGGCCTCCTCCGGGGGAGGACTTTCATCCAGAACATTCCTAGGTGTATGTCCCTGCGCTGGAGTGGTCGATCGAAGATTGAAGGAGTTTACATTTGCGAAACAACTGGATAAAAGCAGTCACAATATTCCCTTGTAATAACGAAAAATTAGGATACACCTCAAGCTGGAGAGTCTGTTAATGCCCTCATGTAAACAGACACTGCCAAGATGGGGCTGGAGGCTGTGGTGAGCAAGGGCCTTGTCTGTCTGCACCTTTGTGTTTGCACCACAGGTGTGGTCAGAGGACAACTTTGAGGTGGTTCCCTCCATCCACTGTGTGGGTCTCAGGGACCAGACTCAGGTGCTTAGGGTTGACAACAGGTGTCTTCACTGGCCCTGCACCTGGATATTTTATATTTTGATGCTGAGCATATAAATTGAGTATTCAGATGCCCAGTACCTACACCCAGGCTCGGAAAGATCCCGAAGGAGTCAAAGAGCCACAGTGTCGCTAGAGCTGGCCTCTGGTGGCAGCTACTTGTTTCCTCATGTCCTTTCTTTCCCCACTTGAATCACGGGATGAGACGCTTTCTCCCATACTTCAGGCACCTGGGGACAGTGGTCCCAAGACAAAAATGCCCTGTGCCTGCTGTGGATGCCACCTCCTACTCTCTCGGGACCCTCAGGGGATCTGGCACCTCCACACCAATGTTCGAGCACCTCTTCCCTCAACCCCTCGTCTTCCCCCTCTTTCTGCCATGACCGGGCACAATGCCTACTGTCGGTGTTGTGCAATCGGCTTTCTGGTCTAAGATCCCACAGCACATCCTTCTGCTGCAGTAACATAGCTCTGCACAGCTCGGGCCTGAGACACAAGCCAGCAGAAAGCTGCCTGCTTTCCTCAACTAGCGCGCTGGCTGTGAAGATGGCTGGCAAGCAGAAACACAGCCGGGATTTTAAAGCTTGCCTTTTAGTTCCATGCACACACATCTGACAGGAAAGTCGGGGGTATCAGACCCCTGGGAGCCAGAGTTACAGCTGTCTGTGAGCTGCCTCATGTGGGTGCTAGGAATCAAATGTGGGTCCTTTACAAGAGCAGTGTGCACTCTTAACACGAAGCCATTTCTCAAGTCCTTTCTTTCGTTGTTTTTACACAGGGCTTCACGTAGCTCAGGGTGGCCTAAAACTCAGTATGTAGCCAAGGAATATCTTGAATTCTTCATTTCCTCTGCCACCAGGCCTGGCTAAACTTTTGTTTTTGTTTTTAAAGACAGAATCTCGCTATGTAGCCTTGATGGCCTAGAACTCACAGACATCCCTGTCTTTGCCTCGTTGAGTGCTGGGCATGCCTGGCCTGGCTAAAAGACTTTATTTACTCACATGCTAAATAAAACAATCAAACATTTAAGGATTTTTCACTTCATGTATGTATGTCTGCTGATGGTCTACAGGACCCAGGCATCGAGTTATAATAGGAGGTTATCATCCCCTGGGGACAAAACTGATCTGTCTGATTCTGTCTCATACTGCCTTCCCCAGAATCCTTAGCTCTCCACCCACTCAGGATTTTCTCTCATCTGTACCCGAATCCTCTGCTAAATCCCGTTCCACTTGCCTGGTATAAGACTGGGTTCCGCGTCCTGTGAACGAGCGACTCCTTTATAGTCTAAACTCCCTGTGCCTTTTCAGCCCTCCACCGAGACCACCCAGCCTGCCCTGCCCCCCCCCCCCCCCCCCCCCCCCCTTCGTGACTGAAGACAGATGTGGACACACATTTACCAGCTTTGGTTCTTTAACAGGCAAAAACGACCTGAGATTTAAAGAACAGACCCTTCTCAGTTATTCGGTTTGACCAAATGCACCACAGTAAGGGACGTGAACTGGGTGAGGGTTTGGTGGGACCACCAGAGCTGAGCTGGAAACTTTTGTTTTGTTTTCAAGACATGGTTTCTCTGTGTAGCCCTGGCTGTTCTGGAATTCCTTCTGTAGATCAGGCCTTCAACTCAGAGATCCTCCTGCCTCTGCCTCCAGCGTGCTGGGATTAAAGGCTGAGTACCTCGGGGCCCCAGCAGCTGGAAACGTTTCATTGGCGTGTTCAGCAGGGACGGAACCGTGTGCTGGGCACATGTTCGACCACTGAGCCACACCCACAGCTCTTCTGTAATATTTATGTCATTCTAAAGTTATTCTAAAATAAGTTTATTTACAGAACTGGAGCTGTGGGTAGAATAAGTGACGGAGAGCAGCTGCCTGGAATGCAGGAGGCCCTGAACCAAAACAACAACACAGACTATTACTCAGATTGGCCACTGACATGGTGGACTACACGGCTGTGGTAAGGCAAGAATAAGACATGGTAACCACACAGGGTGCTGGCCAGGAGCACAAGGCCTAGAGATCCTGGTAGCAGCAATCCTCCCACACGCCTCCCAGTCTTTTCAGAGCTCACAGACAATGGCTGGAGAGATATCTCCGTACTTTAGAGCACTCGCTACTCTTGTGGACAGCCCCGGCAGGATTCCCAGCATTCCCATGGTGGCTCACAACCAACTGGAACTTAAGCTCTAGGGGATCTGATATCCTCTTCTGGCTTCTTTGGCACCAGGTACACCCATGGCGAACTTACATGCATGCATGCATGCAAAACATGCATAAATACATATATATGAACGTATTTATTCATATCCCACTACACACGTACGTACACCCACAGGACCAGCTTGTGGTCACAGAAGAACAGCTCCTGGGGAGGGGGAAGCAGGGACTCAGCAAACTTTGTTAGCACATTTACAAGAACACGGCACAGGTGACGATGGGTGAGGGTGGATTGCTCAGAAGGTCCTGGAAAGGCTCCTCGGAGGAGGTGAGCCTTGCCTTGACACCTGAGTAGTTTAGTTCCACCTGCGAGGGGCAGGTACGCTCAATCAGATTAAGACATCAGATTAAGGTAAGTACATTTTGGATATTCAAAAGAAGACAACTGAATTAGAAAGAGCTTTGAATGGAAAATGGTATTTTCAACGTCTATTATCTATCCAAAACAAAATTCTGCCGCCTTTCCCCTCTGGAGCTCAGACCTGATTTGGACGTCAAAGATGAGCTTTTATGTAGGTATTGAGGAGAAAACATCTTATTTAGTTGCTACTATTGGCAATCTGCATTAATAAAGCCTAGAGCCACAAGTGGTAAACAATGAGGACGACTCCTCTTAGTTATTGTTGTACATGCAACTTGAAAACGCCACCCCTTATTTAACATTTCTTTATTGGAGGTATCTTCTGTATTCATTTCCTTTCCCATTTTTTTTAAGGTAGGGTAAAAACAATAGGAGGGTGGCCTTAAAAAAAAATCAAAAGACTGGGGTTTTGCATTGTCTTCCAAAACGTAATGAACCAGATACCAACCCGCCGGAAAAACAGAACAAAAAGTCAACGCGTCCTCCGCGCTCCCGCCCCGCCCGCCGGCGCCCAACAGGTGCTTCCCCCGCCCTCCCGGAGCCGCCGACCGTCGGGTCGCCGCAAGGCACCCGCCGGGGGCCCGCCCGTACTCACGGCCGCTCGGCGGTCCGCGGCCCCGTCCGCAGCGCCCATCCGGCCCAGGCTCGGTCGGCGCGGGCTCGGCTTTCAGGCGGTCCCGGCGTGGCCCGGGACGCGTTCTGGCCGTTGGCGCCCTAGCCCGGCGCGAGGCATCTTCCTGCCGCCGCCCCGCGGGCCGCCTGCCCTTTGTTTTGGAGCGGTGGCCCGGCCCAGCCGCCATAAACGGCCTCGGAACGCCGCGCTGGCCAATCGGTGCCCGCGCCCCGCCCCCGCCGCCCCGCGCGTCCCCGCCCCTCGCCCTGCCCCACGCGCCCACCCGCGTTTCTTAGCGTCCCGGGGACTCGGTTGGAGCCGCCTGCCTCGGCGGAGATCGTGGGGGTCTCGAGGGGCGGGGCCTGGCGAGGGACCCCCTAAGCCCCGAATCCGAGGCGACCGAGCTAGTGGCTGGGCGGTGGGCAGGTCCGGGTCCTGGGTCCACAGGTTTGCGCCTCAGGCTGCTGGCAGGAGGACCGCTGCAGCTGGGTCCCCCGGAGTGCAAGCTTCTTCGCTTTCTCCATCCCGATCATCCTCTCTCAAGTCTCCAAGTCACCACTGAGAGCCTCCAGATCTCCGTGGACTTGAACTGTGGAACCCCCAGATCAGAACAGGGAGCCGATATCCACTTTTCATGTCCACATTTGTGCCTCTTCCATATGCCTGTTATTTTTTTCTTGGTCTCTTTAGATCGATTTAAAAAAAAAAAAAAAGCACACTGCTGAGGGTGGGTGTACACATTTTAATTCGTCTTAGCGCCCTCTGGAGTGTTAGGATTTATTGTGTTGAGAATGCCCCTAATTGATTAGATTGCGGCTTTTGTTGCCAATTACCCATGAGTTGCCATTAAGCGACTCTCAAGTGATTGATTACTCTCTTCCGTATTCTTCCTAACTGAAAGATGGAATTTGATATCGTGTGTGTAATTCAAGATGGCCTCAACTATGCAACCCAAGGATGATCTTGAACTTGGCTCCTAAAACTTATTATTGAGTGAATAAGCGTGCGCAAGCGCACTCAGCATGCAGTGGAGGACAGAGAACAGCTCTGCTTCTCTCCCACCATGTGGGTCCTGTGGTTTGCACTCACATTACCAGGCTTGGCAGAAAGTGCCTTTACCCAGTGAACCATCAGGCTGGCCCTTTTATTTGTAAAGGATTTAATCTTCTAACTTTTTAAGGTTTATTTTTGTTTCTATGTATGCGGATGTGTTAACGTATCCCCCACACACAGGTATCTGTGGAGGCCAGAAGAGGGCATCAAATATTCAGGAGCTGGAATTACAGGTGGCTTTGAATCACCGAATGAGGTTGGGTGTGTGAACAAGCATGCATGTGTGTTTGTGTGCGTGCGTGTATGCTGGTGTGTGTGTAAGACACAGAGACAGAGACACGGACCTATTGTGTTTAAGAGATGCTTGCACACGCATGGGGTGGTTGTTTGTGGGAGCAAGGGCTGCACCACTGAAGACTGATTCTCTTAGACATGATGGGGTGCACCTTTAATCCTAGCAAAGACAGGTGGATCTCTGTGATTCTCTGAGTTAACCTAAATATGGAACTCCATAGCCTACATAGCAAGACCCTGTACCCAAAGTGGAAAAAAGAAAAAGATTTAAAAAGGTAAGAGCAGTGGCTCGGGGTTGAGAGCCCTCATTGCTCTTGCAGGACTGGAGTTTGTTCCCAGCACCCACATCACAACTCAGTTCTAGGGGATCCAACACCTTCTTCTGGCCTCTGTGGTCATCTGCATACATGCAGACACAGAGACATACATTTAAAACTATATGATAAATCTTTAAAAACAGAAAAAGATTTGATATCCCTAGCAGCCGCAAACACACACACACACACACACACATGCACGCACGCACGCACGCACGCACTCGAGCGCGCCTGTGAGTGAATGTGATCAGCTCCTCCTTGCGCTGGGTTCCTCAGTACAGTAACCACACACGTTCAGAAAGTGTGTTCCACAGACACTCCCCTCCTCTGGCTGCCACATTCTCTTTGGCCTGTCTTAGCAGTGTTCCCAGGCTTTGGAGGTGCCAACACAGATGTCCTGTTTAGGGCTGAGCATTCAACTGTCTTGGTTTTTTTTTTTTTTTTTTTGATTTTCGAGACAGGGTTTCTCCATAGCTTTTTGGTTCCTGTCCTGGAACTAGCTCTTCTAGACCAGGCTGGCCTCGAACTCACAGAGATCCTCCTGCCTCTGCCTCCTGAGTGCTGGGATTAAAGGTGTGTGCCACCACCACCTGGCTTCAACTGTCTTGTTTCAAAACTTAAACCAAGGCTGGAGAGATGGCTCAGAGGTTAAGAGCTTCACTTGCTCTACCAAAGATCCTGAGTTCAATTCCCAGCAACCACATGGTGGCTCACAACCATCTGTAATGGGGTCTGGTGCCCTCTTGTGGCCTGCAGGCATAGACACAGACAGAATATTGTATACATAAATATTTTTTTAAAAAACTTAAACCAGTTGTGACTGTTAGCCACTGGCCACTGTAAACGGAAGCGAGCAGCACCGACCCAGGGTGTAACACGAACACGTTGTAAACACGAACATTGAGCAGGGCAGTCTGACCACACAGCCATGAGCAGAGCAGCAGGTTTTCCTTCAGCATTGATGACCTCCTTAGAATGGGCTTTTTTATTGGTTCTTTGTTTTTGTTCTGTTTTGGAGACAGGGATTCACTGTGTAGCCCTGGCTGTCCTAGAACTCACCTCGTAGACCAGGCTGACATTGAACTCAGAGATCCGCTTGACTTGGCCTCCTGAGGGCTGGGATCAAAGGAGGTACCACACCTGCCTGCATCACCATGACTGGCTCTAGAATTGACTTTTGACCATCCATGCATGCATCCATGCAGGGTATCTCTGATCAACTTTTAAAAAAAAAGTTTTTAAATTAGCTTACAAAATAGTAGGTTTACAGATGGCATTTTCATATTTCCTTAACATTGGATAATCTTCCTCCAGCCCCCTGCCCCATGCCAGCTTGACTTTCCACCTCCAACACCCACCAATTCACATAACAGAAATCCTATTGTCCTCCCTGCTGGAAGGCCTCTCCCCAACCGGGTGCCCTTTGTAGCTTCCTGGTTTCTAGAAGCACTCTGGATCAAAGACACAAATCTAAACAGTTTAAACAACTAGAATCCACATTGAGATAGAACTTGTCATTTGATGCCTCAGGAATTTTTGTGAGGCCCAGCAGTGTTGGCACACGACTCTAATCCCAGCACTCAGGAGGCAGAGGCAGGTGGATCTCTTTGAGTTCAAGGCCAGCCTGATCTATAAAGTGAGTGCCAGGACAGGCTCCAAAGCCACACAGAGAAACCCAATCTTGAAAAAAAAAAAAAAACAAGCAACCCAATCAACCGAAGAAAAATAACAACAACAAAACAGCAAACATTTTTTTTGTATCTATCTAGTATAGTGGTGCATGCCTTTAATTGCAGTAATGGGGGTGGGTGGGAGAGCAGAGGAAAGTGGATCTGTGAGTTCAAGACCACCTAGTCTATAGGCTTGCTGTTAAAATAAACAAACCAAAAACAATAAGGACCATCCTTTCAGAGTTTATGCAAATCTCCATATCCTTCCAGCTTTAGTATAAGTGCCGCTGAAGGGAGCATATATAACCTTGAACTTCTAATTCTCCTGCCTGCTGGGAACACAGGAGTGTACCACCATGCTCAGCTGGTTTATCTGGTGCTGAGAGTGAACCTAGAGCCTCAAGCCTGTTGTACCAGCGAGCGCTGTACCAGCCAGCGAGCTCCAGCCCGCTGTGATTACTCTGACTATTCAGCCAGGTTTTGCACTTCCTTATCAACTCTTCCAAACTTCAGGCTTGCTCTTTTCTTTATTATGATTTCCTTTTTTTTCTTCTGAATTTCAAGTTTCTTTTTTAAGTATCTGTTTTTGCTGAATTAAAAACACTGAAAAAAAAAAAAACCCAAACCCTAATTTTGACAAGATTCAGACATAAACTAAAATTCTGACTGTTACACAATAGTTCCCCAGCCCCCGGTAATCCTTGTTCTTTATGTATACATCAGGCTACTTTATGTACCTTGTATAAATAAGATCACAAAGTGTTTGTCCTTTTGTGACTTGTTTCATTTGGTGTGTTGATATCCAAGGCTCATCCATGCACGATTTAGAATCTTCCTCCTCTCTAGGGAGGTTTAACGTTCTGTTGCCAGTAGATCCACTTCCTGCCCTGCGGTCTCTGCCGCTGCTTTCTCTGGCTGCTAGTAAATACAATGTATTTAAACCATACCCACCCCCAACCAGTGCTGGACCTCCCCAAACATCCTCTCCTTCTTCAGCTCCACCCACTGGCACAGGGTCCACCTACTATGGGCCACACTGCAGAACACTGACTCTCCCTCTCTTCTGTGGGCAAAGGCTCCTTGGTTACGGGTGGCCCCTGGAGCTCCTGTGCAATCCATGCAGGAATGCTGCCTGACTTGGTTATGTGCAGCTGCTGCAGCTGCTGTGAGTTCCTGGGTGCAATGCCGCTGCCATGTTCAGCCATGTCCAGAAGACACTGAAGACATGGACGTGGTTCTAGAGCAGCCAAAGAATAAGAACTTTTTGTTCTTTTTTTTTTTTTAAAGTTTTTATTTATTAGCCGGGCGATGGTGGCACACGCCTTTAATCCCAGTACTCGGGAGGCAGAGGTAGTCGGATCTCTGTGAGTTCGAGACCAGCCTGGTCTACAAGAGCTAATTCCAGGACAGGCTCCAAAACCACAGAGAAACCCTGTCTCGAAAAAAAAAAATTTATTTATTTCAAGACTATAAACTGCCCTGGCTGGAACTCACTCTGTAGACCAGGCTGGCCTCGAACTCACAGAGATCCGCCTGCATCTGCCTCCCAAGTGCTGGGACTAAAGATATGCATTTCCACCGCCCAGTCATTTGAAGGACTTTTTTTTTTTTTTTTTAAACAGGGTTTCTCTGTGTAGCTTTGGTTGTTCTGGAACTCCTTCTGTAGACCAGTCTGGCCTGAAACTCACAGAGATCTGCCTGCCTGCCTGCCTCTGCCTCCCAAGTGCTCCCAAGGTGTGGTACACCACTGCCCAGGATTTGAAGGGATCTTGAGCATCAGTTTCTTCCACAAAATATCACATTGGTTCCCTATATTGCTGACA